ATCGCACGTGTGATTGGATCTTATAATCTCTCATCAATGGCAAGTAGATTATATCGTCGATAACGGGATAAGCTGTCGCGTAATTCAAACGGCGTTTGGCAGTAATATTTTAATATTAATTCCGCACGATGAAAGTTTCACGTTATGCATACGGTAGCTCGTTCATCTTTCTTTCGACGCGAGCTGTTTCATGCATATTGCGAAACGTCGAACACGAATACGCTGCGTTCTCGTAACGCCACCGCATTAATTTTTTATTAAGCCCTATCTAATACTCGGAGCATGAATATTCAGAGATGTAATGCGTCCGGTTATTTCGAGTATCGTTTATTCATAAAACCCGTTGTTGCCCATATGTCGCCATTTCGCGATGTATTCCACGCTGAAAGTTAGCCGTGATTTAGTCCCAGTTTACTCTGGAAATTCTATGTACTTTGCTTTGCTCTACTTTTCTCTCTGTAATTTATACTCAGAAAATTTACTGATAACGCAGAACTTGAACTAAAAGATACCGTATCTAAACACCCGCGGCGCAGAAACCTCGGGGGTTTATTTATTTAAGATTTTATTTTCAAGATTTCTTAATTTTGTGTATAAAACGTAGTTCTACGTCTTTAACTTTTTAATTTGCAAATTTTAAAGCTTGAAAAGTTTACAAAATTTGGGAGCTAGAATTTTACTACTGGCCAACTTGAATTAGTAACTCGGTAAATAGCCCGGGGAAAAATTATGAAACAAAACTTTTATTTTAAAATTCCGTCTAAAATATTAACGAAGAGTTAATATCATGTATAAATGTAAAATGAGTAATCACATTTAGTCATTTGTATTTATTTACACATATTTGCATATTTAAATTGCTCAAAGAACTTGTTATTGTACTATTTAAATTTTTATAGGAAATTAAAAAAGTATTAGGAATAACTTTTTGATAGCTGTTGCTACCTGTACATCATTTTTATTCATCTCTCTTTTTTAAATATTAATTTATAAAGTTTACAACTTATCAAATATTAATTGCAATTAAAAAATGAACAATGCCACAATGATTGTTGTCCTTGCAACTGAAATAATTTTTTGTAGTTGCTGTTTATGTATGAATTTAATTGTTCATAGTATTCTTCACATTTTTTTTTACCTTTTCAAATATTAATTGCAATTAAAAGAATACCTTCAGAGATTACAACGTTACAAATTACTTTTTAATAGTTAATTCTTAGCTGTATATTTTAATTTTCCACACCGTTTATTTCTATTCACATCATCAAAAATTAATTGCAGTACAAAATGATTTTATAATAAATATTTAATAATCTGTAAACGCTAAAGTATCAAACTGACGACGTACAAAATAATTAATAAAATAAGCAATAAATTACAAAATTTGAAAATAATGTTGCAAGCATAAAACGGAGATAATCAGAGCCTTCTTTGAAACGTGATCATCAAAGTGTTAAGCTTGGTTGCACCCGCCTGTATCATTGATGAAGAAAAGTAGTCGCGGCAGAAAACACGCGAGTTCGCGAAGAATAAAGGGGCGTAACAGTTATCATCGGAATACGGAAAATTTCCGTGATCCGTGAACAAAGTGTTAAGTTGAAAAGGGGTAGATATTCGTGCATCGCACGAACGTTTTAGTTTGCGTTATAAGCTGCATTGTGCCCGAAACGTCAGTCGTAACCTAGAAAAAGTGACGCATACTCTTTATCGGTCACTAAACGCGTGGGTTGTTCTGTTTACCTTGCTACCTATGCCACGTATATCCGGCTGCGATAATACGGTTAGTAGACGTTGCAGTTGAAAAGTATGGCAGCTTGAGTGTCCGTGAAGATGAGCAGTCAACGTCAAACAGAATTATCCGCTTTCATCTACGAGACGTTGCTTGCACAACGCTTTGCTACGATTACTTAATATTCGATGCTACGTTCTTTAATACTCGATTGCTTTCCAAAGCTTCGAGGTTATATAATCAGCTTTTTTCTTGCTGAAGGGCACTTCGATGAATAATGGATGGGTGACCATCGATGATATTCAGTTTGTTGGAATAATTGAGCAATTTTTTATTTGTATCGATGTTATATTTATGACGGTAATTTTCATTTGCGAGGTTTGTGCAAATTAGGTTTGTGCAAATGTGTGATGGAAGTTGATACGTTGAAGGAGTGTATGGGTGTCGAACCACGGGTAGGCGCATGGGTTCAAAATATATATATCAAATTGGCGGACCATGACGAGAATCCGTTTACTGATGTCAACTCATCAGTTAGGGCGTTCACCCGAAGTAAAAGAAGCTCCGGGTGAATACTTCCAGTTTTATTTCGACAAATTAGTATAATAACGATAAAAACAATTGCTGAACACAATTCACATTCACTCTCGAGAAGTTTGCGTGTTGTTTTTCGCTTAATTGGTGGCCGCTTGAGCCAATATACTGCCGAAAATACATGTGAGGCATTTTTCTATTCTGACCAACTGTAATACCTCTTCTAAACATCTCTTCAAGCCCCAACTCATACGTTCACATCAGTACCTCTTATTTTGAAGATATGTGCTGTGTAATATGTGGAGATATAAAGTACGATGACACAACTCATATTATAACCTTAGATCCACGTAATCCTACATTCTTACATTCTCAGACTCCCATATTCCTAGATTCTTATATTCTAAAATTCCTTGGTTCCTGTAACAAGACAACCAACCTTATTAAACAGTAAATTGAAAATATTACCAGCTTGTCCAGATGCACTTCATAAGAACAATTTTGCACCATTCATTCCATAGAATATGTAGTCCCACTTCAACGTTACTCAACGTTATCCTATCTCGTTCCACATTTCCTGCTATATTAATCCATCTTCTAGAGCTACCCTGAAAAGTGCTCATCTCACATACTCGGTTTACTCCGAGAACTTCCGAGAACACTATAAACTCAAGTTTTTCTTCCGCTGGAATTTACAGTCACTCACATATTTGCTCGAGTACCTTTCAATTCTGACGAAAATGGAAAATCTCGTCTCTGAGATTCAATGTACATATTCAGTTTACTACGGAGGTCGATAATCTTCGTAAATAATTTTTCAAGCTATTTGTCGAGTTAGACATTTTTTGAACTTTTGAAAATCTTTAGAAATGTTGAAATTATAGCGAGGGTAATTATTATGAATGTAATTATATTTGTGTGTTTGTATTGTATACAATTGTATAAGCTGTGAATTATTGAATTATCATAAATATTATCATTGAAGATATAAATTATAATTAATATACACATATTTGTTAATTTGTTAATTTGTTACAATATTACACGCATGAAATATAAATTAATTGCATTTAAATGCAAATGTAAAAATGTAAGAAGAGTGCTTAGAATAGTTCAACTAGAAGACATCGATATTATAGGAAATAAAAATAACCACTCCACAAAAATAGTTAACGATTGATCTATTACTATTAGAAACTATTTGAGACGAATTTAATTAAATCAGAAGTAAGACGAAAAATGTAAAATTCAAACATGTCTCATTTACCATTACAAAGAAATGAACACACATGTTTCAAATTCCACGTAGTCAGACATGTCGAGGAAGGGAGGCAGGGAGGGGCACTTGCTCCCCAGAGGAAAAGAAGATGGTTTTCTTTATACCCTAGAGGAGAAAATTTGCATTTTGCCCCTCCTTAAATAAGAAAATTTAAATTACAGTTCATATGTGATAATTAGTTCTTTTTGTATAAAAATATGTTTAAAATCTACTACTACGATAAATTTACTTTAGAATGAATTACATATATTATGTATGCAATTTCACTAAGTCTCTTGGTATTTTTAGGATATTAGAAAATCACTTTTTAGACTAGTAAGTTATTTCAAGCAGTGAATGAACGTTAATAGTATAATATTGGAGGGAGATTATTATTTTAGATGAGATGAAAGTTTATATATTTTACATATGATATATTGTATACATATGTTACCCACATTAAATTCTATATTACAGTAATTATAGTTGTATTAATAGTTTCAAATATATGTAAATTTAGTCTGATTTTGCATGTCTAAAATAAATTAGTACTTTAGAATGTATAACATACAGAATGTATAACATGTATAAAAGTATAACATATGTAAGTCTTCTTTCAAACATATAATACTACAATGTATAATATGTCTAAAGTATTAATTAATTTCAGGCGTGCAAATTCAGACTCTATAAATGTATAATGTATTCGAAACTAGATAACTGGCGCTCCAAGCACCAAAATGGCGGAGAGTGGTATCCTTCCCGAATAATTAAGAATATTCAGAAGCACACTATAATAAAAGTATAACATAAGTCTACTCTCAAATATATAATACTATAATGTATATGTCTAAAGTATTAATTAGAGACATACAAATTCAGACTACATAAATGTATAATATATTCAAAACCAACCTAACCTAACTCTTCACAAAAAGACACAGCACCCAGCACCAAAATGGCGAAGAGTTCCTCGGCCACCAAGAATATTCAAAAGCAACTTATCCTCGCAAACGCTTAGCTAAATAATATATCGGTTTCCATCGCAAACGAGACGGGAGGACAACGCAAACGGTTTACCGAAGGAAATTGAAACTGTATTAACGTAGCCGGATGCTCGTATCGATAGAGAACGTCGAGACAGTAGTCAATGGCACGACATGCAACTTTTAATAAAAACATTGTTCGTGACGAATCCTATAACGCACCGATACAATCTATTCGCGAGGATCTCCTTCTTTTTTTATCTTTTTCTTTGCTAACGCCTACGCGATCGGAGCAAGCCGTTTGATCTATTTTCGAAGGATCGATACGTCCCTTTCGAGCGTGCTCGCATGCAAGAGGCAATAATAATGGCGAGTACAATGTTGAAGGGTTTGAACGAATACCTGAAAACAGTCGCGTGTTATTTAAGGGATGTTTTAGATAATCGGTTAACTGGATCGAACGTTTACGAAACGATACGTTGATTGTTTACAGTACATGGAAAATGGCACGACAATCAAATTAAAGGACGTCCGTTACGAGGCGTCTGCATCGTATTCCTGTCTGGTATCAATGACGACTCCTATTTATACCCAGGCTTCCGAACCCGTTCATATGAAAGTTATAGGTAAGTCACTTCACTATATTTATTAAATACTGTGTACCTACTATATACCTCCACGGAGAGAGCTGTACCTTTTAAAAGGTTCTTTTAGTAACTTTAGTTATATTTTTTACAAATATAAAGTGTAGTTATATTCTATGTAATGGTTCATGGTATAATTACAATCTTTTATATTTATTAATGAGTTTGATAATGGGTCTTTGAAAGTGATGACGTAGGTATTGTAGAGTGTTTTAGCAAGGGTAATACGGTGCTGCGTATGAAGGAACTATTTGAATATCAGGTTACTTATACTGTAGAAATATTAATTGCAGTGGATATTAGATAGGATAATTAGAAGTAATTTAATAGGAAATGCGATACTGGATAAAGCTGCATTTTGGAGCTACTTTTGATTTATAAATTTTTTAATTTTCAAATACCAACATTTTTTAAGTTCACAATTTTTTAATCTTTGAATTTTTGAGTGTTCAAATTCAGAAGTTCCTTTTCTAGATTTCTAGATTTCTAGATTACTAGGAGGGTTTGAACGAATACCTGAAAACAGTCGCGTGTTATTTAAGGGATGTTTTAGATAATCGGTTAACTGGATCGAACGTTTACGAAACGATACGTTGATTGTTTACAGTACATGGAAAATGGCACGACAATCAAATTAAAGGACGTCCGTTACGAGGCGTCTGCATCGTATTCCTGTCTGGTATCAATGACGACTCCTATTTATACCCAGGCTTCCGAACCCGTTCATATGAAAGTTATAGGTAAGTCACTTCACTATATTTATTAAATACTGTGTACCTACTATATACCTCCACGGAGAGAGCTGTACCTTTTAAAAGGTTCTTTTAGTAACTTTAGTTATATTTTTTACAAATATAAAGTGTAGTTATATTCTATGTAATGGTTCATGGTATAATTACAATCTTTTATATTTATTAATGAGTTTGATAATGGGTCTTTGAAAGTGATGACGTAGGTATTGTAGAGTGTTTTAGCAAGGGTAATACGGTGCTGCGTATGAAGGAACTATTTGAATATCAGGTTACTTATACTGTAGAAATATTAATTGCAGTGGATATTAGATAGGATAATTAGAAGTAATTTAATAGGAAATGCGATACTGGATAAAGCTGCATTTTGGAGCTACTTTTGATTTATAAATTTTTTAATTTTCAAATACCAACATTTTTTAAGTTCACAATTTTTTAATCTTTGAATTTTTGAGTGTTCTTTCTAGATTTCTAGATTTCTAGATTTCTAGATTTCTAGATTCCTAGGGTTCTAGGTTCCTAGATTCCTAAATTTCTAAATTCTTAAATTTCCAAATTCCTAAATTTCTAAATTCCTAAATTTCTAAATTCCTAAATTTCCAAATTTTTAAATTGCCAAATTCCTAAATTTCCAAATTTCTAGATTTCCAAACTCCTAAATTTCCAAACTCATACATTTCCAAACTCCTAAATTTCCAAACTCATACATTTCCAAATTTCTAAATTTCCAAACTCCTAAATTTCCATACTCCTAAATTTCCAAACTCCTAAATTTCCAAACTCCTAAATTTCCAAACTTCTAAATTTCTAAATAACTAATTTCACAAACTTTCATTTTCCCATATTCCCAAATTACTATTTCTCCTAATCCCATTATCCCCAAATATAAAAATCCCCAAATCTAATACCTCAAATTTCTATATCCCAAATTTCAATACCCCAAAATTTCCAACATCCAAATTTTCCCCAGCCAAAATCAAATCAAACTCCATATAAACCATCTAAATTCTTAAATCCTCGACCTGCAACACGTCCAAGTTTCCAATATTCATCTTATTAAATTCTTCAGATCTCCACATCCTAAAATTTACAATCATCGGAAATTATTAAACTATTCTCCGCTCCATTTCCTTCAGAAAAGAAGAATGATTGTTTCAATATAAACCAGGTTAACGTCGCATTTAAATTCGAAGATTGACTGAACTTTCAAAGTTTGGATTTATTGGATCTCACAAGTTGTCCGTACAAAAGTGTATAGAATCTTTTTTGTCGCGATAAACACGAAACATTCAGTTTCTCGTATTATGCGATTTACTTTGCGCTGCTACGAAGAATTCCAACTTCCAAAAGTTTGTTCACGGTTTATGCTTGTTCGATAAAGTTCTGATATACCATGTTTGCACCGATATGTTTGAAACAAGTATAACCGAACAGAAAAAATTGTACACACTCGTTTTTTGTGGAAACATTAAATGTGTTAGGAAATGAGGTTACCAAAAAAACATCGAATAGAATATTACAAAATTGACTTGTTACTTTTGTTTAAATATTTGCTGGAATTATTATGTATGTTCACTGTGGTATTTTATATTCATTTTATTTATTTTATATTTGTTTCATTTAGGTATTTATTTATTTTGTTTTCATTTGAATTATTTATTTATTTATTTTTTATTTACTTTATTTATTTATTTTGTATTCATTTTCGTTATTTATTTATTTATTTATTCACTTTGTATTAATTTTATTTATTTATTTTATATTTGTTCCATTAAGTTATTTATTTTGTCTTCGTTTTGTTGACTTACTTATTGTATCTTCGTTTAATTTATTTTGTGTCCGTATGTGTTATCAATTGAGAAAAAATAATTTACTCGAATCTCGCTTGGAAAAGAGTCGAGTAATAAAAGCTGCTTCCGTTTCGTCCTTTCATCGATCGGTCAACTAATTATACAATCGTCCCGTCTATATCGTGCAATAAAATCGCGATAAAACACGATGTCTTTGCAATTATAATTTATCGTTCGAACAGAAAAATGTTATATGACCACCGCCCTGCATAAATCGCAGCTGTCCCGTGCAATAACAGATACGGGGAAAAACGAGAAGAATATATTTACAAACGTAATTTTTTTAACAGAGAATATTGCTTCGCATGGAAAGAGTTAATTTATCTTTCCTCGATAAAATGAAGCTTTTAAACTGAATTAAAACCTATACAAATTGATATTATGAAATAAAGCATAAATGAAAGAAAATCTGATTTGTTGAAGAAAATTATTTTGCTTGCAATGTTTTAAAAGAAGAAAATTGTTTCTTATGGAAAATATTAATTTATCTTTCCTTAATGAAATGAAGCTTTACCTCAAATAAAATCTATACGAAAAGAAATAAAGTACAGACTGACGAAAAGTCTTTAAATATGATTTGGTGAAGAAAATTATTTTGCATGCAATTGTTCCTTAACGAATTTCAGAAGAGAAGTATTATCTGTTTTTTGCAAGGTAAATTCGCGTTACGAAATCATATAATTTAAAGTGGAAAGAGCATACTTTAAAGCGTAATTTGTACATAGAGAAAAATCATTTTGCATGAAAAGTGTTAATTTATCTTTCGTGAGTGAAATGTGCAAAAGGTTATCTGATTTCCAGGCCGTATAATTTTACGGTAATAAACCTCGTGAAATTGTATCAGCATAAAGTGAAAAAATATAGGTACATTTTTTAAAGATCAGTCGCGGAAAAATTTATTTTGCACGCACGCGGTTAATTTATTTACCCTTCATAAAACCTGAAGTTTCTAAATCATACAGTTCCATTTTAATTACCATTGCGGAATTATATAATAGCACAGTTGGAAGGGAACATATTTTCAACGTAATTTGTGGAAGAAAAAATTATTTTCCACAGAAAGTTAATTTATCTTAATAAAATCTGAAGGTGGAAAAGTATAATTATGCGTATGCTGTGTTTTAACGTCATTGTAATAAAATGTAAAAATTATTTTTTGTGGAACGAATTTTATATTTTATAGTGAAATCTGAAAATGAGGAAGCATCTGACTTGCAGGCTATATAATTTATGGTAATTAACGTTATGAGACTGTACAAACAGAATGAATATATTTTTAATTATTCGTTATGGAGAAATATTTCAAAAAATTATTCAGCGCAGGAAAAATTAGTTTACATCTTCTCGTTATGAAATTAAAAAATAATTGAATCATTTGTCGCAAAAAATCTCCAACAATTCCATCTTAATTATACTAATACAACGTCGTAATATCACAAATTGAAACTTTCGGAAGAAGCTTGCGGAGTTGAAGAAAATTATTTTGCATGTAAAGAGGTCATTTATCTTCTGCAGTAGAACAAAAAGTTATCTGGTTTCCAGATCAAATCCGTTTTAATTAATGTAACGGAATTATAATACCATAAATTGAGAGTATTCGAAAATTATTCGAGAAGAAAAATCTTCATGTAAAGTTTCCTTAAAGGCAAAAATGAGATGTTATTTGTTCTAATTATCGACACAAAATTGGTGTAACAGACCGGAATATATTTTTAAATGTAATTTACAAGCAGAGATCGTTTTTAGACAGAAATAACATCTGTCTGTAAATTAATTTGAAGTAGAAGATAATCGATAGAATTTCTGAGCGAAGCTTAAAATATAATTGTTCTTACGTGATTTTCAGAGCGTACAATTGTGTACTAATTAGTGTTATGAAATTATACAGTACCACAGACTGAAAACCCGAAAATCACATTCGAGAAAAGCATGTACGTGGTCGGCGAAAATTTAGAGGCGAATTGCACCTCCTCGGCTGCGCATCCAGTTCCTCACTTGACTTGGTATATAAACGGGAAGGAGGTAAGTAAATATTACAAATAATTGATCAACCTTCTACTTCGTCAGGGTGTTAATTTTTAACTGGTAACCTTATCAAGTATTCTATCAATTTATTTACCTTATTTACCTGAATATATCCGACGTAATTCTTGAAAAAATTCTGGAACAAATTAAAAATTTATGAACTCTTGTCAATCTTACATTTAATATATCTCTCCGCGAAATTCGGTCTTTACCGAATTACTGATTTTTACTGAAATTTAGAAATTTATGCAATTGAATGCGAGAGAATTTTTCTTGCATTTCATTCTTTTAAATTTTATCTTTGAGCTCTTATAAATTTGATCGATTTTTTAATTTCATTAATTTTTTCAATTTGATTGGTTTTATCCATCTCATTGGTTTCATCAATTTTAATAATTTTATCAATTCGATTGGTTTTATCAATTTTAACAATTTTATTAATTTCATTGGTTTCATTAATTTTAATAATTTTACCAATTTCATTGGCTCTATCAATTTTAATAATTTTACCAATTTCATTGGCTCTATCAATTTTAATAATTTTACCAATTTCATTGGCTCTATCAATTTTAATAATTTTACCAATTTCATTGGCTCTATCAATTTTAATAATTTTACCAATTTCATTGGCTCTATCAATTTTAATAATTTTACCAATTTCATTGGCTCTATCAATTTTAATAATTTTATCAATTCGATTGGTTTTATCAATTTTAACAATTTTATTAATTTCATTGGTTTCATTAATTTTAATAATTTTACCAATTTCATTGGCTCTATCAATTTTAATAATTTTACCAATTTCATTGGCTCTATCAATTTTACTAATTTTATCAATTTCATTGGTTTTATCAATTTTAACAATTTTATCAATTTGATTGGTTTTATCAATTTTAACAATTTTGTCAATTTGATTAGTTTTATCGATTTTAACATTTTTATCAATTTTATTTGTTTTGTCAGTTTTAATGATTTTGCCAATTTGATTAATTTTTTCGATTTAATCGGTTTTATCAATTTTGTTACCTTGAGGGGAGAATTGTACAATATCGACCAAACTAGTTCTTGCTTTCAATAATAGTTGGGTATATATATCGTATTAGTAATTCATAGAGTTTCAAATTTGGGGATATTGGAATTTGGAGATATTGGTTTTTGTGGATATTGGACTTTCGGGATATGAAATTTGGCAATGTGGCAATTTGAGGTTATGTGATACAGGGATATTGAATTTGATATCAGATTTTATTGTTAGATATATTTTGTGAATGTAGAGATTAGTATTTATTGAATTATTTTTATTCTATTTTATGCTTCAAATTGAAATACCAGAAGTACTATTTTATTCTATCAAATAATACTCAAGTTTCTATATTTCTCAATCATTTATGCTATAAATACATGATTGACAAGGAGCTAGTATGTATTTTGATGACATGCGTTCTCATCAAACTTAAATTTCTAAATCTCTAACTTTCTAAATTTCTAAATTTTTTGTTATTTAAGCTTAAGTCGAACTCTCATAAGAGAATTATAAAGCTGTACATGAGGTTTACAGTTAGTTGTACAAGGGATTATACAGATTTATGGGCTTACAGTAGAATATAAGTAATTTTATGTTAAATGACATTTTACACTTTTATGTTATTTTTTTTTTAAAAGCTGTAAAAAATTTCTAAATTTAGAAGTTCACGATCATAAAAATTTATAAACCAAAAAATGAGTAAAGTAACAAATGCTTGAAAGTCCAATACATCCATTTAAACACAAAGTGTGAATACCTCATTCGACCCTAACAGCGTAACAGATTTTTATCCACCGCGTAAATGATGTGTAATAAAGATAATAACGATTCCGCTAATATTGTGTTCCGCCAGGTGGATATTAGCCTGGTAAATCATTATCCTCTCACGCATCACAAGGACCAATTGATGTCCGCGACGGCAAAACTAATGATAGAGGTTTCCGCGTTGCATGCAGGGGAAAATGGATATCTAGAGATCAGCTGTTATTCCACCATTCCGGATTACCCCTTAAACCACGAGCAGTATGCTGATGTCAGGAAGGAAACGGTTTCGGGTAATTATTAAATCACCTTTTAAACGATTCCTTGGTGAAACTGCGAATTTGATTAACACTTAACCTAACAGCGTGTCCTGATTTGTGCTTAATGATAAAGTCTTTTTCTTTCCTTTATCTCTAGCTAGTTTACTAGACGTTCACTTATCTTTTTAATTCGTAATTGTTTAAATTATTTTCGACTTTTCACTGCTCTTTTGAACATTGCTTTCATTAAACTTTTGAAGGACATTTTAACGCACTATATTTTTAATTAATTCATTTGTCGAAATCTTTATTTTAGGGAATTATTTAATCAGTTATTTAACCAGTGTACTAAACCTCCACTAATCTTTGCAATTCGATTCACAACTGTTTAAATTATTTTCAACTTCTCACTGCTCTTTTAAACATTGCTTTCATTGATTGTTTGAAAGGGATTTTTAACGTACCACGTTTTTGCTGAATTCATTTTATTCTATGGAATTGTTTAATGGAATTTTTACTACCATTCGAGTGACCTACTTATTTTTATTTTTCGAAACGATGTGATCGATTGATGGACATGTACGGATGTTTGTATAATCATTTGAAATTTCAATTTAACTGATTTATGTAGAAATGTTTCAGACTGTATCCAGCTTTATTTATTCATTTTTCGGTAGTAACTCTTTTTCCATCTAATCGATATTTTATAAATTTAAGAGAAATACCTGCAGTGCATACGCATATTCTGTAGGAAAGGATTTTTTGAATCTAATTTCATTGTTATACAACTTCCATTTTTAGATTCTTTTCCTCTCTGTGAACGAGACACGTAGGCATTCTGATGACTACGTTTGAAATTTCTGAAAAAATTCCAATTAAAATTGTGTAACATGGATTCGTATCATTATTTTTTATTTAAGATTCAACATACTTTATGTCGTAATTATTCTGCATGATATATGTATAATATGAAAACGATTAAAAATAGAAAACCTTACAATATGAATAATTTAAAAAATTTAGTCACCTATAAAGTAAAGCAACTGTATTAAAAAAAAATTCAATTTCCTATATTTTAAATTTGTAAAAATTATAAATTATAAAACCATAAATTTTATTATAAAAATACGAGAAATATTTTCTTAAAAAATGCAGTAACTCCATTTTCATCCTAAACCTCTCAGTGTTTTATCTCGTACAATTAAATTCTCAACTTTCGTAACTTTTAATTGCAACACGAAATGTTCCCAAATTAGTATCTTTCAAACGTAAGTGGCTTAACGCTCGGAAGATAAAAGCACGACCAATTGATATTCACTAAGCTGTGCCTTTTGACATTTTCTCCTCCTTTGCAATCGTTCTGAATGCTTTACGTCCCACGCCAATCAGGATGCATTTAAGACAGTTGAAATTAGCTAATTAATTCACGATATGTCCTCCCACGCTGCGAGTACATTGACAAACGAGTTTGTATCAGTTGCATTATTTTATCAATTTATAGTTGTGACGCATTTCTGAATAAGTTTAAAGGTCATTTATATCCGATGGTGTCAATGTTCCGATTTGATACATTTTTTAATTGATAGGTCTTGAAGTTTATAGATTTTATGTTGATTTTATGTATAGACTTTATCTTGATTTTATGTGGGCTTCATCTTGATTTCATATGGATTTTATTTTGATTTCATATAGATTTCAGCTTGATATCATATAGGTTTTATCTAGATTTTACAGAGACTTCATCTTGATTTTATATCAATTTTAGCTTGATATCATATAGATTTTATCGAGATTTTACAGGGACTTCATCTTGATTTTATATAAATTTTATCTTGACCTCATATGATTATTATTTTGATTCCATATAGATTTCAGCTTGATATCATACAGGTTTTATCTAGATTTTACATAGACTTCATCTTGGTCTTATTTAAATTTTATCTTCATCTCCTATAAATTTTATCTTGATTCCACATAAATTTTATCTCGACCCTCAAAATTAATAAAACCATCAAAAATTTTGAAAAATTATTCTGTCTTAAAACAACGGCACAATCAATGTTTAAAAATAAACCTCAAGAGTAGAAATATTTTTAATAAAAATTCGATAAAATCCAGTGACAAAAATTTGCCCCTAAAACTTCACTCAAAGAATAAACACAGACACAGAATTTTTTTATCAAAATTTTATACTGTAATTATTTTGTATTACGTTAAATTTGAGTCGCAATATTATTACAAATAAACATCACAGAAAAATTTCGAAAGAGCAAAAGTCGATGCACAAAGAGGTTAAAAAATGATCCCGTTTTAGTTCAGTATAATTCGAAGACTAGAACCATTACCAATGTCACTCTAATTCTCTAACGAGAACGTTTGTTCGGTTGTTCCAGTGCAAATTATAACCGCGTCGAACGCTGAATCCTCAGCGCCGAATATCGCCCGTGGATGGCCCTTAGCTACGTTGCTGTGCGTCCTCTGCACGATGCACAAGATCATTCCTTAATAAAAGTCAATTGCTTTAGGATAATTTAACGAAGGAACAAAGAGAAAAAAAAGCGAAGAAAAAAAGAAAATGAACAACTAAAAAGAGAAAAAAAAGAAACGAAAGGTGTAATATACGTAACAAGCGGAGAAAAAAAAGGGAGAATTAAGGAGGGATATATATATTATATTATATACACACACGTATATATATATTATATCGAAGAACGAACAATCACAATGTCTTCCTTGATTATACCGAAATACACGGGGGGCAGCGATTTTATTGTCTTGCAGAAATTTTATAAATCATAGACGCGGCTTCTTCGTGCAACTATTTTCGATTGTCGCTTGTATCGATCGTTATCTATTTCGCGAATTATATCGAATCCCCGGGGGAGAATCGTGGCCACACAACGGCGAAAGAGAAACGTAGTGCATAGTGATTCGCCGACGATTTCTTTTTAAATGAGACAACACAGATAAGATGGCGAAGAAGAAACGGTAGAGACACATATGCAACCAGACTCACGCGATCACACACACGTACATACACGGGCGCATTTTCTAACCGACATTTGTCGCGTCGACCGCAAGATTAATCCACTTATCGTCGTTCGTATATTATTCGTGTTTTCCGTTCAGATCCTTTAACGACGTTGACAGACTATTGCATAGAATAATTATTGTACTCGTGAACGATCAAAGTGAGGAGCTTTAATGTATTCGCGAGAGTATATAACAATTACTGTTTCACCTAGTTTTTAGATGGCTACAGTGTTACCCCTCTAAGTATTACCAGGATAATTATTATGCAGAGAGGCGCTCTCGTTTCGGAATTTCATCCATTTTCATTGTTTCGAGCAACAATTTACGGTAAGTTGGAAAAAACACGCTGGCTGCGTTGAAATACAAATTTAGAACTCGTGCAAACTGGAATGGTCGGTTTGACGGGTCTTAATTGGCATTTTGATATGTAACTGATATAGATATCAGTGATAGACAAATTAAATTACTGAATGTATCACGGAGAGCGAATTGTAAATTTAGAAACTTGCGATTGTGGTGGTTTGAAAGGTTTGGAAGATGACGAAAGTTTGAGCGGGGGAAGTTTGGAAAATTGAGAGATTTAGAAATTTGGGTGGGGGTTTGAGAAGTTGAGAATTTGTGAATTTAGAAATTTTGGGGTATAGGAAGTGAAGGATATGGGACTTTGAGGATGCGGGAATTTGGAGATATGGGAATATTGGGGGCGCAGAAATTTGGGAATGTGAGAATTTGGAGATGTAGGAATTTAGGGATGTGGGAATTTAGGGATGTGAGAATTTGGGGCATGACAATTTGGGGATGTGAAAATTTAGGGACATGAAAAGTTGGAAATATGACAATTTGGGGATGTGGGAATTTGAGGACGTGGGAATTTGGAGACGTGAGAATCCGGTGATGTGAGAATTTGGGGATGTAAAAATTTGGGGATATGGAAAGTTGGGAATATGAGAATTTGGGGATGTGGGAATTTGAGTACGTGGGAATTTGGGGATGTGAGAATTCGGTGATGTGAGAATTTGGGGGTGTAAAAATTTGGGGATGTGGGAATTTAAGGACGTGGGAGTTTAGGGACGTGGGAATTTGGAGAAGTGGAATTTGGGGCAATGGGAATTGGGGAAGTGAAAATTTGGGAGCTTAGAAATTTGGGAAAGTGGGAATTTGGGGAAGTGGAAATTAGGGTAAGTGGAAATTTGGGGACGTAGACATTTGAAAATATAGGAATTTGAGGATGTAGAAATTTGAGGACGTGGAAATTCGGATTAGGAATCTGTACATTTGGAAATTTAAAAAAATGGCTATCTAGAAAATTGTAAATTTGTCAATTTGTAAAATGTGAATTTATCAACTTGAAATTTAGAAATGAAATTCACTATTATGCATAGCAGTCAGCGTGTTATCAAAATGGTTACCAATCCTCCTATCTCATTTTTATCAATCTCTTCAATTTATCAAAATTAATAAAAATTTATTCGTCACAGCACTTAAAATTTACAAATAATATTTTTCAATAATTTATTAGTTTATCCCTTCTTAATCCTTCGTTGCATGACCTTTCGAACTAACAAAAACATAAAATCACTTTTTTGAATCCCAAAAGTGATTCTAATAGAAAAAAATGATTGTATATCATTTTGACATTATAGAAATACGAAATAAGGATAATTTTAATAAATGTAAAGTATGCAGTTAATATGTTCACATTTAAATTGTATAACTACAATTTACATATTATGATCATACAATTTTGTTATTTATATTATGTCGTTTAAATATGAATATATTCATGTATGATAAAACACCAAAATTGTATAATGTATCATTTTACATATGTGCAATAGGATGCAACGAAGAATTAAATTATCGCTTAAATGGGTAATACTGTATCCTTATAAATGTAAGATGCAATCTTGAACGTTCGATGAATAGATCATTGATTCGATCGTGCATCGAACGTTTCCATCAACCGAAACACGGTGTAATTGAATGTCAATTCGTAAGTCGAATTTCTTATTCGAAATTAAGCTATGTAATCGTTGTTCGAGATAAATGTTTTTAATCGTGTTTCTAATTTCAAGGTTACTGTGTATAGAGCAATGTCGTGTAATTCGTGGTACAGACAATTTTCTATACAAACTTTTTTTTCTGGAAAATTGAATCCAAAGATTGGTATAAAACTTGCACTATTATGTAAACACGTTCTTTGCTGATCACGCGATATCGCGTGCCAACATGCTGGTATTCAAGCATCATGGCACAGAACGACCGTACCATTTTTTGAAATCAGTATTGAACGTGTTAATATACATTATTTATTTTTAACTATGCTAACTAAACAAAATTAAGATATGAACCAAATACATAAATATATGATTTTTGAAAAAATTTCATTTCTCAAAAATGAAGACATGTAAGACAAGATTTGTTACAAATTTAAAAATTAATTTTTGGAAAATATATTTTCGTTGTACCACCAGTTACCTGACACCCTATATATTTAAATAACTGTTTTTATCGAAATCTTTTACAGAGACCTTTAAAATGTTACTTTCCAGTAATTATACTTTTAACATCTAACTAAAAAATGAGCATCGTGATCGATTATGTTAATATCTTTTACATTCCTAGTTCGAACACGATCTAAGTGCTCGTCCTGAAAAGCTAATTTTTAAGTAAAATCGACAGATTATGATGTACCTATATATTTCATATATATATATACATACATATATTATATATATTAAGAAAAATATTCTGATAAGTTGTAAGTACATACGAGCTTCGTACGTGTGCACGTGAAAATTTCGTTTTTTCGTGTTTCTCAGATCTATTTATATACACGTATTTAATATAGCGTACGCAGAATGTATGTTAGTCTAAAGCAGACATCCTATCGACAAATCAGAAAACTAAGACTGTTATACCTTGTTATTATATCGACGATGTTATTCGTTTGTGCTACTACAGTGTCGTTGCTTTTCGATTTCGTCGTTCCTCGGGTTCGATCCTTGCAATATATGGAGAGGATACTTTATGTTCATCGTAATGTTTTGCGAATTTCAATTAATGCGAACATAGTTATAGATGATTAAAAGTTTGAAGTTAACAGAATTTTGGATTTTCAAATTTTCTTAATTTCCTCATTTTCCTAATTTTCCCAATTTTCTCAATTTTCCTAAATTTAATAATTTTCCCAATTTTCCTCATTTTTCTAATTTTCCTAATTTTCCTAAATTTCCTAAATTTCCTAAATTTCCTAAATACCTAAAATCCTCAATACAAAGATTTACAAATTTCAAAATTCCCAAATTCTCAAATTCCCAAATCCTAAATTTCCAATTAGTCCAAATTCCCCAATTCTCAAATTCCCAAATCCTAAATTTCCAATTAGTCCAAATTCCCCAATTCTCAAATTCCCAAATCCTAAATTTCCAATTAGTCCAAATTCCCAAATTCCCAAATTCCCACACCTTCATATCCTCAAACCTTCAAATCCCCAAATCTTCAAATCCCCAAACCTTCAAATCCTGAAATCTTCAAATCCCCAAATCCTGAAATCATCAAATCTCTAAATCCTTAAATCTCCAAATTCTCAAATCCCCAAATTCTCAAATCTCCAAATTCGCAAATCCCCAAATTTTTAAATCCCTATTTTCCCAAATTTCCAAACTTCCAAATCCCCAAATCACAAAATTCCCAAATTCGCAAATTCCCACATTTTTAAATCCCTAATTTCCCAAATTTCCAAACTTCCAAATCCCCAAATCACAAAATTCCCAAACTTCTAAATTTTTGAATTCCCAAATTTCTGAATTTCTCTGAATTTTCTACTATTAATCTCCTAAACCTCCAAATCAAAATCCCATGTAAAATACATCAAAATTACATCGAATATTCGATGGACATGAAATATAAAAGAAGAATACATTCCACATTGCAAGGGTTGAACGAAAAATATCAGATGCATCCATCGTTACCGATACAAAAACATCATCTCTAAATAAGGAAACTTCCTGTGTAGAACGCGTTTCATTTCGATGGAGATTTTTGTTCACAGGGCACCGTTGCAATTGCATTGTTTGTAAAAGAGATACAAGGACAATCGTAAATTCAATAGCGCATCGAATGATGGAAACAAAGGCAACTGAGATCTTCTACGACTATTGATCGTACTGGACGCTGATAAATATTGATGTGCATACAAATAATTCAGAATGAAAGTACTCGATGAGAAATAGATCAAACAATTTCAGAATTTTAGGTACTTGATATCATTTTTTTATATCGATCTTGAATTAATATCGGGTTGATCGTATTGGATGGTTAAAAACTCTTTTACAATTTGATTTACTCCGCTCTCTCATATTTTAAAATATGAGTGTTTTAAAATACGTTCAGTGGGTTTTAGATGAGGTGGTTATGCTTGGAAAGTTGAATTTATATTTTATGAGAAAATTTTATATGGACATAGTAAGACGTATGTTCATATGAGACTATATGAACGTGTTAAGACATATGATCATATCAGATTATATGAATATGTTAGGACGTATGTTCATGTTAGACTATATGAACATGTTAAGACGTATGTTTATATCAGATTATATGAACATGTTAAGACATGTTCGTGTTAGACTAAATGAACATGTTAAGACGTGTGTTCATATGAGACTATGTGAACATGTTAAGACATATGTTCATATAAGATCATATGAACATGTTTTATAGGAGTTAATAACATGGATTAATGATTAATATAACTTCAATTAAATTGTTTACGAAAGTGAGCGAAGGAAGAGTAGTAATTTTGCAAAGTGAAGTAGCAATATGAGTATTGCTGCATATGTGGACATATGCGAGTATGTGTCACATTAAAAAGTATGTTACGAAATTTCAAAATTGAGATATTCCTGGATTAGATCACTGGATCTCTGTATTTTTAAATCCTCATATTACTAGATACCTACATTCCCAGATTCCTATATCCCTAGATCCCTACATTAATAAATTTTGATATTTATACGTCCCTATATCCTTAGATTTCTATGCCTCTAGCACTCTATTTCTCAAAATCCATATGTCCTTATTCCTTTACTACTATATTCTATTACCTAGAGTCCTACATCTCTAACTCCCTATTCCCATATTACAACGATCTCATCCTCTAGTTTGCTAAATTCTTATATCTCCAAATCCTTTTAATCTAAAGTCTCCACATACCATATTGTCTATCTATATTCTAATATCCAGGTCAATATCCATAAATCTCTAGAATCCCATATCTCCAGATCCTCATATTTCTAGCTAATTAAAAAAACAATAGTTCCAGTAGCTGTGGATCAGGTCAATATTAATATAACACCAATATGAAAATCTTGATGTATCATAATTTAATGTAACTTAAATTCTGCCACATTTCTCATCGATCACTTTCATCGACAAAATTGTCAGCGTTATATTTAACGACAATCCATAAATCCCTCGTTTATCGTTTTAATCGTCGATTTTACGATCGTCCTCACGTCTCTTCGATCGAGGACACACGTAGCCTGTCCTCGAGCGCCGTGTCATCGTAACAATGCGGTGCTATTTTTAATAGCAAAAATACAACAACAGAGGGGTAGTGCGAGAAAGGGAGGCAAGTAAGTTACAAAGTTCGCGGTTATTTTGTTATCGTTATCAAGCCCGTGAAATCTGTCCTGAACACAGGAAAACAACGTGTAATTATAGAATATCCTTCCCTACGCAC